TCATTTAATTTCCGGTTGTCGCACAATACACGATTGACAGCAGTGACGTTTACAAGCGGTATGTTATCTTCATGATCCGTATTCGGAAACATGCATGACAAGATTTGATTTTTCCGAACAGAAAAGCGTACAGAATTGTGTTAAATTTCTTATTCAATCAAACTTTGTTGCAAATAATCTTGTAAAAATAAACGTTGAATCTGTTGCAATATTAAAGTCTAGAATTTAAATATCTAGGATTTCTCATACTTAATCGACCAAATCTCAGGAACTTTACAGATCCGTGAATTTCGAAAACAATTATAATAATTTTTATCTTATCAAGTCTAATATGTTATTGCAACGTTTAGATTTCAGAAAAGAAAGAAGGGAAACTTTCGATTAACGATCTAATGCTTTCGTCGAAATCAAGCAACGAACGCAAGACGCACGGACTTCCTCTATCTCGTGATCGTCGAGACTGACGAGCCAGCAGCTCCGACTCTCCCTTCGGCAACTGAAGTATTCCAACATTCTCCCGGAACCAATGTTCGGCGTAGGCTGTCGCCCACGCATCTGCTGGGGTTGCAATTCAACTGAGCATTATACGTACTTCGCAGTCCTGGTCCAACGGAAATTCTCGGTGAGGGTGACGATGCAGATTGAACACATGCCTGCATCCGGGCGTTTGTCATGTCGCGCTTACATATGAAGTAATTAATCATTTCAACGCGGAGAGACCTTTTATCGCGAAAATGCTTGAATATTTCCTATAAGCTCCATGAGCAGATCGCATTGTTAATCATAATATCAAAAATTCTCCGTTCATCATTCCCGAAAAAAAATAGAAAATTACGTTCTCTTGATTTTTAAATATTTTTTTTTTTTCTAAATAGGAGAAAAAAAACTGACACCTAAAGATTAAAGAGCTTTAAGAAGAATATTTGCAATCTTTTCTCTTCTCGCCCGGCTACGCTATTATTCTGCATAAATTACACGTATATACACATGAATAAGATATATACCTATATACTTTTAATTTGCATTTACGTCAGAAGTTCTGTTATCATAATGAAAAATATCAGCGATAAATTCAGAAAAATTAAACCTATTCTCATTATATTCTACTTCTTTCCATTTTTGTCTTCAAAATCAGAATATGATATTCATCTTATCAAAGAGAAGCCTAAGAGTAGATTTAAATGAACGCGTTTTAAATGAACATTGCTATTTATTGATGCTTCTATATGTACAAAAAAACATGCAAATTGAATTATACAGCCATGGATATATCCGACCTATAACACATTCACGATCTTCGATTTCCTTTTGCATTATGTATGTGCATTATTTCATTGTATTTCATGTTTTATACAAAATATTGCGTAACAATGCATTATAAAAATAATAATAACAAAAATATACACAAAAAATAATGATAAACTTCGAATTTTTTAAATTATTACATATAATATGTTACTAAAGTACATCAAAATTCAGAAACTAATATGATTGTTATCTTCGTATTAAGTTTTCACGTCCATATAATTAATAAATTTTTTGATAATAAAATTAGTTATAATTCTGTACAGTATGGTTACAGTTTAAAATAAAAAAAATACGAATGAAAGTTCTTTTATTTAAATTAAAAGTTTATAAATTTTTGAAATATTTTTATATATTAATTTTTTAATAACAAATAATATTTATCAAAATTCATAATTATTAAATTCATGATATTTAATACTTCTAATTACAACAGTTTCCCTGCCTACTCGAATTATGATAGCATCTTACCTACCAGAATTATAATGGTCTCCTACTTATCCGAATTATGATAATATTCTACCTACCCGATTTGTGATAATATTTTTATCTATCTGTATATATATCTACCTAATCATAATTCTAATATAATATAATTAATTAATTGAGACGATGGATATCCACATATCTATCATATCAAACAATTACTGATCGTGACCTTTAATATGTTTTACATGCTGATAATCCAACAAGATCACCTATCTATTCATGAACGAAAGTCTGAAATAAAAAGAAATCCTTCCGAAATAACCCACCCGATATGGAGAGTCTTAATTTGAGGGAGATGTAAAAAATTAAGATTATCATATCATGCAAATGCAGATATGTGAAAAAATATTTTGTATACCCACCCTATATATCGTTTTATTATCTTTTAATATTCAGATTCTTTGCAATCCAAATTTTCGTCTTTAAGTGAGTAAAAATTGACCCAATCTTGAAAAAGAGTAGCTCAATTTTCAATTTAAGAGCGAGATTTTGCTCTCTTCAGAGTAAGATTTTACTCTCTTCATTCAATATAAAAATTTTAGAAAATAGCTTTCTTCGATTTTTCGTCAGATTGGATTTATCTTTTGTTGTTTCTGACTATCATCCGACAGAATTTAGTCAAAAATCAAAACAAGAAAAAACTCCTCTTTCCATTGCCGACTCATTAATATCGTCGGCAGACGAGCGTTTATGCTCGTGTAAATGCGCGAAACGCGAACACTTAGCGAAAGGGACATTATAATTAATTAATTACGAAATTTATAAGTTATCAAATTAATTATATTTTCTTCGCGTTGATTAATAAGAATTATAACTGCAAACATAAAAAAATGATGTATCAACCGCATTCTAAAAAACTTGATAACATTGTTTAATGTCAAAATGAATCTTAAAATATTGGAATTGTGAAAATCAAATCTTGAAATATAAAGATAAAAACTTTTATATGATTCAAAAATAATAATAATAACTTTTAATAACTTTCCAAAATTAATAATTAAATATTGATAGATGCTGAAGACTCTGAGGCCTATATGATTTTTTTGTTCGTTTCGTAGGTATATCACCTCAAAAGCTAGGTAATGAGAGAATTAAAATTGAATGACGTGAGATCCCATAGGATATTATATTTATTTTTATAAATTTTCATTTAATATGTATCATATTCTTCGAATATAATAATCGAATTGGAGATAAATAATGTACATATTAAGATGTTATCAAATATTTTTTAATATGGTAGAAACATATTATGTTTCAAAACTAAATATTTTAAGTGAGATTTAAAATCGACCAACTTTAAAACAATATCAAAATGCTACAAAAAATTCTACTCTCATGCAATAAAATATTATGGGAATTTACGTACATATTAACTGACGTAAAGATTAATTATTAATCATTACATATGGATAGGCTAGAAATTTAATAAAAATTTAAATGTATAATAAATCCATCCACAAAAAATGCATAACATGATAAAGTAATCATAAGATAAATGTAATAAATCAATTAATAAATAATATATCCAGGATTAAATATTAAATCTTAATTTGTTCTAGCCTATTTCATTTTAAGGCAACGGATCTATAATTAAAATATAATGTGTATAATTTATTATGTATAAAAATAATTATTATATATAATAATATATAACATATATCGAAAAATATTTCTTCTCTATTTAAAATATTATTATAGATTCGTTACTTTGATGAAAAGTTTAAACATCACTCACCGACCGATGCGCAACAGCGGAGTTATATCTGCAACGTTGCTACGATGTTTCTGTAACAAACAAATATAAAATTCAAATTAAACAGATCAGAAAAAAAAAATCAAAATGCCAAAAATAATTACTCAAGGCATATAAAATTCTCAAAAATAAATAATATATAATTTTTGAGAAAATTTATTAAATTTAAACTTTTAGGATTTTGTAAATAAGTAAAAATCTTTCTTTAATTCTTATTTTTTAAATTATTTAAATAAACAGTTTATCCAGTTAAAAAGAAACATACTTCCGCATGAGTAATTATATGAGTTATATAATTTCTAAAGAGTAAAAATTGAGCCAACCTTAAAAAGAGTGGCTCAATTATCAATCTTTAAGAATGAGATTTCATTTTTCAGAATTATGCAAAAAAATATTTTGCTGCTGCAGCTAAAATTATTGCTATTTTTTGTATAATCTGATAAAAAAATTATGTATTATAATTTATGCAACTTCTATGTAATTTATGGATTGCTAACATCTATTGGTTTCTTACACTCTGCTTTTGTTACTTCGTTTTTAATATAGGGAATGTAAATTTTTTCTCGCGCAAATTACACTTAAATAGTTATATTTTAATACAATGTGCGTACACTCTTATCTTGATACAATAAATAACATGTCTTACGCTTTATGCATGTGCATTATTCGTTGTTGCTCGTAATCGTACATTCCAAGTAAAAGCAAAAGCTCGTAAATCCACGAGCATTTCGTGAAGGCATTTCATGATAGCTCAATGGCGCGTTTACTGACAAAAGTACGAAAAATACTTTGTGAAAAATTAAATTATTTAAAGACGAATTCAATTGTGTAAAAAACAGGATATCAAATTTTCAAGAAAGATATTGAGTGAAACATTACATATTATTTTCAAATATATTGTATTAGGTGTAGTAAAAAGAAATCCATTATTTTTCCAATAGATGGCTTTAGTAATCTGTATCTCGCGAATGCGATTTCTTTTTACTACACCTAATATATAATGTGTAGAAATATAAGTTCATAAAGATTAAGTATTTATAGACGATTGGAATAATTACAAGAGTCGTGGTAATCGTCATGTAGTCTTAACAATATCTAGATACAAGAGTGAAGGATCCCGAGTTTAGATTCTAGTTTGTTGCGTTAATCTTTTGCAATTACAATTTTAGAAATGGAGTTAGAGGATTCGTTTATCCTCGAGTGATAGAAGGCTCTGAAAATTGATGTTTCTAGTGAATGCACAAAATGCATCATTGACATACATTCGAAAAGGAATGTTAATATCTAGCTGGACAAATAAGACATAAAGTTTAAGATAAAAATAAAAGGAAAATTATCAGTAACATTTGAGGATGAGTGTTTTATCAGGCTTCTAAAAATATAGGGCCGTAAGGTCCATTAGATATATGTATGTAAGATGGTATATATATTAGGACCAATGAAGCACGACATGAACATTCAGTTTTAATAGTACTTAGATGAGAACTAAAGCTCCTACTTATAATACAGAAGAAGGTAGAAGAAGGGCTTTTGCTGGTAAGATCTTACTTAAAAATCTATTATAATTAATAGAAATCTCTTGAAAAAAATTTTTTATTAAACAAAGAGTTTCTAGGATCTTACATGAAATATACAACAATAAAGAAGGAAAGAAAGTCTTTAACGATCAAATTGAATCGCTTAATTCTATGTGAATTATACTAGTAGTCATTTAAATAAATTTAAATGATTACATCTAACTTAACCATTAAAGGTTTTTCTTTCCATATCTTTAACTGTTCTTAGATAAGTATTGAAGTTGTAAAAAAATTGTCACCATGACGCGTTCGTTTTGTTGATAATTGATATTTTTCTATTACGAAATATATCAAAATTTTTTTCATATGATTGTCAATGTCAAATTTAATATGATTTAAAGTATATAAATAACGAGTTTAAATTAATTAATTCTTAAAGTGCTGTTCTTCTGTTTTGAGAAGATAGAGATAAGGGCTAGATAACTATGTTTTCGCTGGGACATAATAAAATGTAATTTTTAAAAAATATTTATTGTATTCTTTGTTATATTCTTTGTGTTATATATGAGCCTCCAACAATTGAGTAATTAATGTGGGCCTCGTTATGTACATTGCAGAGAGTTGTTTTTCGTGAAAACTCGATTAGTACTTAAAAATGTCCTTTAAGAAGTCCCTAAAGGTATCTACAAAGAAGGAATGCTCATAAATATTCACAAGAACAGGATCAATACAAGAATATTATTAGTAGACTGTATTTGTAAAAGAAAATTTCTGAATCGTATAATATTTTAATACAACCAGAATTTTTTATGAATTCAAGCATGGAAAACCCAAAATAGTCTTGAAGAATCCAATTTTGGAAAAATATAGGAAACACACTTTACTATTATGTTTAAATAGTCAATCACGTTTCTTTTTATTTAAACATTTCATTAAAATTTTTTTTATTTTATAAATTGTCTTAATCATTTAAAACGTATTTTATATTAAACTCAAATCAATAATAAAAGAAATAATATACGAAAGTCGACAGATTTAAACGAGCATACAAGATGATGACTTATTCTGTTATTTCACTTTTTATGAGATGTATATACTGCACGTACGTTTCGGATTTTACTTAGTCTTCCTCAGCATAACTAAAAAAAAAATTATAAATTTATAACAGACCGAATTGTTTAAGAATCTCATTTCATGTATAAATAAATGCAGATGTTACATAATTCTTCTGTCAGTAATCAATCATTATATATTTAATGTTTTTAACGATGTCCATATTATAAAATTTATATTGTAAACCAATTCTTCGGTCTGTGGCGAGAAGGTAATGTCAAATTTTAAAAAACATATGTATCATATTATCAAGTTAACGATAATGCGGATGCATACGATGTTAGAATTCAATTATCAGAGGAGACTACGAAAAACAAGAAATATTAGAAGCACATGTAATAAATATTTAACATCAGGCGTTCGTGCAATAAAGATCTCATAACTTATATTTCTTGTTCAACATATTACATGTACCTCCAGTACCTCTCTCTCACAATTTCCTCTGATCATAATTAAATAATAGAATAAATCAATCATCTTGTTTGCCTTCCAAAATTTACTGACTTTGATTTGTTATTTCTCGTTCCCAGGGAATCGCATGACGGAATCGTGTAGAATAAGTAAACGATAATACATCATTTTTTCGGCTATTTTCTGAAATTTTCGAAGCATTTCGTGATCTTTCATCGGAATGCGGATTAGCTAGAAGTTTGTTATTATCGAATGCTTAAAGGAATTGCAATAGACAAATTAATTGGAATAGACGATGATATATTCCCTTTCCGATCATTTTCTGGAATCTTCTAATTCTGAGCATTACGTGGTTTTTCGCCGGAATGCGGATGTTAGAATAATATAATATTTTTAATACTTTCAATAAATAAATTATCGTTAAGGATATCATTGACCTGAATATAATTTAAAAAATTAAAACATACATTACAAATACATTAAAATACATTAAAAATTCAAAAAATATATTAGGAGCTAATTATATTTTCCTTTAATAATTTTTTGAACATCTGAGTATAAAATAGCTTTGAAATAATTACAAAAATTTATTTAAATTTGTTCATATATTTCTTATTATTTTAGCGATATGCATTTATAACAATAGACATTTTAAATCTCCTTTATTGATCTATATTAGAATATATCCAAATATAATACCAGCCTAAAAAGAGCAGAACATCTCGAAGTTAGATAAGTCAATTGGCGGTTGGTCTCGAATTCCAATACAATACATCAGGAAGCGTTTCAAAATGTTTGTGGGACAGATAAAGGTGCGTAATCATCTGCATCATTTTCTTTTAAAAAATTCCAGACAATATATTACAATTTTAAATAACTATATATGTTCCTCCATAAGATATTCTTCCACTTTTATAAATAAACCTCATAAATAAACTGCGGTTGGCGAATCATGAAAGTCAATTCCGATCAAACGCGCCACAATAGAAACCGTCGTAGAATCGTGATAAAATAGAAACGTAGAATATGTAGATGTAACGGCGTGAACATCGTCAGCGTTATTTTCTCCTCGAGCACGCACTTCTACGCTAATCACGTAATTAAATTCCGCCAAACTGGAGGACCTAACGAGTCATAATTGCTCCTGGTAGTGCTTGCGTATAATCGTACATACTTTGTTATAATTCCGAGGACTTACGATGCTTACGAGTGGAATAGAGTGAGATCTAGACACGGAAGTGGTTATAGCTGCCGTTTGCTACTCCTTGCAAATTCGTTCGCGTACTCGTGTAACGTAATCGTGCAATTGTAATCGAAATAAACGCGGCATCTATCTGTCTACATTGTGAATAGAATCCATTTTCTTCTATTAATCCGAACTGAAAAAAATTTTAATTCCGCGCTTATACAAGTCAAGACAAACCATAACGTATCTCCTTTTAATACAAAAAAAAAATTAGAAACGAGCAGCGACCTTTCACGCTGCTTTCAATTTCGGGAGAAGATTCATTCATACGATTTTGTCGATAATGATAAAATAATTGGACAAATATCTTTGTTATACAATATAAGGTGAAACTTAATCAACTCTGCAATCGAAGTTCGTGGTAAATGAAAAAAAATTTAAAAGATCAATTTTTTTAAATCATATAAAGGTTATTGTCTTCTTGGGTAGCAAAATTATTTTTGCACGTAGACGTTCAACTCTTTTTATCTCTGGATATCATAATAAGTAATTTGTGAATATTCGAAAATATTACAAATCGCAAAGGGATAAACTTAAAATGTTCGTGGTATTAAACCGGCAGTAAAAACGGTCTTACAAAAAATTGATAAAAAATTGTATTATTATATTTTCTTAGAGCTTGCAATTACTACTCTTGTATTGTATCGTCGTACAAAGCTATGTCATACATGAAGATGGATTCACATCGACTGAGCAAACAGAAATAAAAACAGAATCAGAAGTATCCAAAGAAACTACGACGAGCGCTAATCAAAATTCCAATGAATCCTTCCAGTCTGATCAAGTAAAACACTTTTTTTTCCCCCTAGGACCTAAAGCTAATCCGATAGGTAAGAAAAAGATTTTTCTTCTCCATAGAAAGGCGCGACATTGTGTCAAAATAAAAAAGAGATTAATTTACAAGAATTTCGAATTGTTACACAGGTCATATTAGAATATCAAGCAATGCATTTGAATTGAAAGAGTGGCTTTCGAAACTGCCCATCGAATGGCAAAATCCAAAGCAAGAATCACTTAAGAAGATTATTCCAGATAATAATGATAGCTCCAAAGAAACATCTGATAAGACTGAGTCTCCATTGCACCCAAAAGACGACGGTCCGATAGGTAAGAAAGATCTTTGTCTTATATGCAGAAAAATATCATTCTATTACTAAGAAAAGTGATTACTTAATTTATTTCCTCCCTTTTAAATAACGGTTATCTTTAACAAAGAATATTTTTTTATAATAACCTTAAAATATACTTATTTTTTATAAAATTTTAAAAATATTTATTATTGTACTTAAAACAAGAATTTCTTTTCTTTTGGAGAATATTATAAAATTGATTTAAGACACGAACTTTTCATAATATAATATAAGCAAATAAAATTAATTTTAATTTAATAAACTTGGTCAAAGTATTAAACTTACTAGAATGCTGAATATATTTTGAATAAATTTAATGTTTGTGATAAACTTATGATAGATTTACAGATATATAAACTTTTGAAATACTTGAAAAATAAATAATTATTATTTGTCTAAATTATTACTAATTATTACTTGCCTATTTTTTGTGTATAGAACAATATGATGTCACGTTAAAATAAAGAAATATTCAATACAAATAAGTGGAAAATATCATATTTGGTTAAATGAATCTTTGTGCGTATTAATATTTGTATAAATTTATACAATTTCCAGTTTAAGCAAACTGTGTGCCGATTATTTGTCGGTCTTGAAACACTAATATTTAATTGCTTATCAATTTAGTTTATGTTGTTACCAGTTAACCATTCACTTCAGTTTCAGTTTAAGATTGTGTCAGTGTAAGATTGTCGGCGCACAGTTTGCTTAAACTGGAAATTGTGTAAATTTACAAAAAATATTATTAAGTATGAAGATTTGCTTTGAATTAATATGGCGTTTTTCATTCATTTAATATTTTATCAGTTGATTTTCACAAAATCTTATTGAAAATAAGAAAATATTTTACAAGAATCTCTATTTTTTACGCAGAGGAAGTGGCAAGCACAATGTTCCCGGAAATCGAAAATCCGGAAACCAAAAGGAATCATACAGAATTCCATTTTGTTTTGTATTTATTTGGCCGTCCAGTGATAACACATCATGAATTCAATGAGCGAACTGGCAGGAAGACCTGGCACGACTACCAAGTTCCATTCACACCATCTCAGTACATCATCTCAGTAGTCGACTATGGATTTAAATGGATTAAAATTTTTATGCGTCTTTTAAGAATATAATTGAATCCAATTGAATCCTGTATTTAAAAAAAACTTATTTTATTCAATTGAATTTTTATTCAAATGAATTTAACTGGATTAAATTGGATTGAAAAATTGCATTTTCTATTTAGAATTTTGAATTGAGCAGTTGTTACGATGCATAAAAAAAGTTAATATTATTTTATTAAATTAAAAGGCATAGAAATGTGCTTCATATAATTCCTATAAATGAATAAAAATACATTTGAATTAAAAAAAATTTATTTTAATGTTCGCGAAATGCGTATTTCTGAAAATTTGAATCCATTTCAATTCATAATTCTGGTTTACTAGGAGGACCCAGTGAGATCTCTCGTTTGATTACCAAAAGGGACCGGTCGATCAAACCATTTCATAATTTCTGCCATGTCGTTTGATAATTATTATCAAATTGTGAAAAACAATAGCACATTAAAAAAGTTTCACATGGAAAACTATACCCCATATTTGTACCCCATAAACTCCATACAATACTTTCAATTACCACTACTTAGGTTCAGTTTTTCACAACTCATGGTTAATTCTTAATCGAGATTTAACTTATTCCTCATCTCTTTCTAATGCTAGAATTGGAAAGAAATGAGAAATAAGTTGAACCAGGCTGAATTAATCATGAATTGTGAAATTGAATCTTACAACGCTTCAAACACGTATGTATATAGCAAATCCTTTTATAATTCCAGAATGTCTCTAACTATCAAATCTCCTGTTAATTATCGTCAAAGTGCAAGAAGTAACAACACGTCAGAGATGCATAAAATAACGCACATACTCGCTAATTACTACAAATATTATTTCATAGTACTTTCGATTATCAGTCATATCGGAAATTTATACAACGTAGTATATACAATCCCAAGTTTTTTTATAATTATAAAATATCTATAATTGCTATCGCCCAATAATTATGTATAAACTGTAGCAAATCACTGCTTGCCAGAAATGTCTAATCTTAGTAATGACGAAGATAGTAATGATAAAGTTGATAAAATCGATCCATCAATTCATAGAACTATCGACTTTCATAATATTACTCGAGATGAGGAAAAAATGTTTAAAATAAATAACATCTACTGTAAACACAATAAAATGGAAATTTATTCTGAATACTCAAAGATTGTAATTTAACGATACGATAAGTATAGGATATAATGTTATTAGAAATTAATTTAATGCTTGACTAATAATTATATGCCATATTTGCAAATGTAGATGATTTCTTTGTACTTTCATTTCGCGGAACAAAAAATTTGATTAATTAAATAAGCATTTATCGTTAATCAAATGAAATCGAACTTTCATTTTATAAAATTTATATTTTTTTATATTAAATAAAATATTTTTCGAGCAATTATTGATGAAGTTTTATATACAAAACTATCAATACATACAATCAATTTGATTGTTAAAGAAATTATTCTGGTTGGAAAATTTTATAAAAATTCAATGAGATACAAAATCGATGTCGATCTGAAATATGATATTCTGTAAACATATCTTATTTATTTTCAAAATTTTAAAAGAATACACACACACACACACACACAAATATATAGGGCCCTCAAAATAAAAATAAAATAAAGGAAGAATATAAAGGTATTTATACCATGTGGAAGTAAATCGAAACGTAGGAAATTTTTGTATGTGGAGAGACATGATAATATAATATATTAGATGAATTAATTGAAATTCTTGTTATAATTAATCAAATCAATTTCCGCGCTGTATTTTGGCGCTCTCATTGCCTTTATATTCTTTTATTGTTGTATGATTTATTTTCCCCAATTTATTTTTCCAAAATTTTTTTCTAGCTTTTTTTTATCTTATATTACAATTATATAAAATATTTAAAAACATTTTAAGTATTCACAAATGTAAGTATAAAAAGAAATGTAAATATTTAGAGTGTTTCAATAGCTTTTGCTCAATCCTTTTAAATTAAATAAATACAGATATTTGAAGTGAAACAATATATCGTTGAGCTTCTTTCACATTTAAGCATTTCTTTCACACTTAGCGACTTAATCTTACCACGTCGTTTTTCTGATGCTTTCGCAAGTTTTAACGATGTTACGCTCGCATGGTGAAATTTATGCGATGAAATGCGTCCGTTAAATCGGGCACGATGGAGCATTGCCGAATAGGTGACCCGTTTTACAGATCAGATAATTCGTGATACTCGTGATACACTCAGATTGGATGGACAAATGCGCCAATAATGACGAAAGAAACAGAAAAATCATCCTTTTTGTCAATAATGCAAATTAATTTATTAATTTATTTGTATTAATATAGATTGTTTATAATTGTAAATTATATCACCGGAAATAAACGATTGCGTGTATAGAATAATTTATATATGTATAATATCATACGCATAGAATTTATAGCACAAATCTAAATCTCTGTCATCTATTATGATTAGATGCAATACATATCCAATATCGCAGTATTTGTTAGAAATCTATTTTAGTTAATTTTTCGTACTTGTTAGATAATTTTCGCTATAACTGCAAGATTACTTTTTTGAGTGATGAGATTCACTTTAAAAGTTTTAGAGCATATATAAATTAATACCTATAAATTCTTATACAAATTATATACTTACCGCAAGGTTGCTCCGCCGTCACCCGATGTCTCTTCTAGACCTCTTCTCCTCCTTTCAGGCAGACAAGATTGTCAACTTCGTAGGAGTCCTTCGACGAAACATTCTCCGCGTCGTTATTTCTGCATCATTCGAATAAATGATTCGATTAAGGTTGCGTTCGAAAATTTCACCCAAATGCGGCTTAGTGCGTCATTCTATCTTTATCGTTCATTAGAAAACGTAAAACAAGGATAAAATGACACACTCGGGTGAAGTTACCGCAGTCTAAAAGCTAGGCGATACTTCCATATATATATATCACAAAACATTAATTATACTCACCACTTTATCTCTAAGGTAATCTAGGTTGTCAGTTTCGTAAAATTCCCTCGACGTGACACTCGCGAAAACGCGAATAACGATGACGCGATACTTTACGTGGCATTTGCCGAAGTACAACGCGAAATTAACTGCGAGTCGCATCAACTGCCAACTGAACCGAGCTAACTATCCAAAAATGTAACGCTCGAAACACATTCACGACACAACTTATACCATGTAAAAACCTAATCTACAATGTGCTCTTTATTTCCTATTTCTTGCTTTCTACCACTTTTTACTTCTTTTTACTTCTCTTTTAGCCTCTTACCTAATTTATCGTTTCCTGTCGACCGAAATAAGAGTTGAACTTCGAAAAATGAGACAAGAAACACGTAAAAAGAAACACAATTATCGATAAAATGGTTACAAAAACAAAAAGGTACGAGGTAAAAAGCAAGAAACAAAAGGACATATAAAGAACATATAAAGAACATATTAAAGAATAGGTTTAAATTCCACGAGAAACCGAATGCAATCGATACGTGAACACATTACTGCATTTCATTGTTTAAATACACGCATATTCCACAATAAGACTGCATTCCATTTGCTGCTCACAGCTCTCTTAAAATTTTTTCTCATCCTTATTATTTATCAAGTGAATAAGGAAATGATGCTCCTAAACGTCGTGATCACCGAATAAAACGCACCCTATATAACGCGGTTCAACTCGTTTATTACTCCACGCTCTCATGATAGTAATGGCAAAATTATTCAGATTAACGAATAATAATTCGTTTGGCTTCAAATATTCTTCGATAGATAATCGTCCGACAAGTAAATTGCGACGAAACATGAATCCAACCATTCGACCTGTACAGATAAACCGTGCAAGATATTCGCTGCGAAATGAACGACCATCGCGATGCAGCGTCTCGTGAAGTACGTCGCGAATCGAACGAATGCTACGAATAAATCAGCGTATACGATAGTAATCTTACAGTAATAAAGAATGCTACGGATGAGAATTTATTCGTAATATCATGATCGTGATATTCATCGCGCAGCCACGATGTTTTTGACGGTATAATCGTATTACGCACAAAAAGGCACGGCCAGGCACGGCCGAGGGTAGCAACGGAATGCGCGGCGACAGTTTTCGTAAACATCGCACGACTCGGTCAACGGCTGATGACGTAGACGCACGCCGGCAGCGCGCCGGGCGTGCGACGTATATTTATGTACACACAACACAATGCCGAGTGCGCGCCGCGTATCAACCGTCTCGTCACCAAGAAAATAATAAAATGTAACATATCTAGAAACTACAGAAAATACAGAATTAAATCATATGAAATATTCTGTTTCCTTTACATTTTCTTTTCTCGAAATGTGATCATATTTTACGAATAATTGAAACCCATCGGCATTTAGAGAAAATAATTAATTTTTCGGATCAACGATCTGCAAGTGACGAGTATTTATTGAATCGGGATAATGACAAATATTTCACACTGAATAATGCGTTTCTTAAGTAGAAAAAAAACTCACTAACGTGAGCATATAATGAGAATAGGGATCATAAAGTTACTGCTCATTAATAATATTTTTAATAATATATTTCGTGAAATATATGAAATATTATTAATGAGCGGAAACGCATTTAATAGATGTCAAAAATGCTGTGCAAAACGCTTGTTGCATTCAAATGTATTAGCATTCATGCGATTATATACGTAATTAAATGTAAGTGGACACTGGATGCAAGTGAATACGAGTGATCACAACAGAAGAAAGTTTTAAAAGACACAATGAGACAACTATAATTAATTCTATCACTATATACATCGTATCATTAAATGCCAAATTATTTTTTATTTCAATTTGAAATGTTGGCTTCATAAATGTATACTAATTTTTATTTATTTTTAAAGTTTCAAAAATTAATGCATAACTTTTAAATTTAATTTTAATAGTGTCAATTTCAAAATTTATTTTAAATTTATATTTAAATTGCTATTAAGATATGAGTATAAAGATATATAATTATATAAAAAATTGTTATATCATTACG